CCGTGAGCGTTTCGACCGGTCAAGACTTCTCAGCCCCTCATTGAATTCAATAAGATCGTTGATCACGTTATCCCATTCACAGTGAGTCTTTGGTATTCTGCCCTTCAAGATCTCAATACCTATATAGCCTCCTGATCCTGTGGTGATAATTCCCTCCTCCGTCTCCAAACCTGGATCGATCGGGATCAGAATCGCTTTCATCGGTCGCGTCCGGATCACATTGCATCGTTTGCACCTCGCACACATCCTGCACCTCGGCTCCCGTGACAATCCATCCAGGAAGAAGATATCGAGGGGTTCGAGGCCGAGCTCAGGCGTTGGAACTCGACGTGTCGTTTTTGGTCTGACCGACGGCTGTTCTTCGATTAGACCGGTCAGTCTTCCGGATTCCACTCGATGTGTCGGGGAAAACTTCTCCCGCAAATTCTGGAACCACTCAGTCCACATGGCGCTTGGCTATTCCTCGCTGTGGAATCCGTTTCTCGTACACGTGATCGACTCGAACTAAGGGGTCGATTTCTGATGAGGACCCACAGATCCGTCTACGTGCCGTCTTCCTCCCGAAATGGTAGAGAGTCCTGACGAGATAATCACCTCATCTCGCCACTCTCTCGAGCATATCACTGAGGTTTTATCCTCTCGGCTTGATCTCGAGCTTGACTTGTGGCCCGAATGATGCTGATTACTATCAGAGATCGCACCCGGATCCCTGAAGGAGTTGCCCTTCTCGTCGCATCCATACTCGAGAAGTTTCATCACAAGCAACCGGACGGGCTCCGGAACTATCTCGGGGAAGACGGCGCGGTGCCAGTGCTACGTGTTCATTCTTAGTTAGCCTCGCTTGCGTGTGGCATTCTCTGAACGGTGGCAAATTGAAATCGCTTTCGAGCGATAAGGATTGTCAGCCACGGTATCTGTCCGAAAATTGTGAGATTTGCGATGCGATTGATTTACTTGGAGTATTGTTGTTTCCTTCGCAATCCGATTTTTCTGCGTAAAACTCTGATTCTGACTATCAGATCTTTCCGCCGGATTTGAAGGCGCCCCATTACTCGTCTCATCCAGAAACTTGCATCCAGATACTCTGAGTGATGGACCAGTCACCTTCAACGGTGGATCGGAATCTTCGAACGAGAAATTTCCAGGAGGAGATTCAGCGGACTCCGGTGAAGGTTCTGGCATTCAAGACGTCGAGGGGAGTCATTCCAGATGACACGGCCGTCCCGTCGAGGTAACTCGGGGAGCGTTCTCCCCGTCGACCCACGAGCCTCGGGGTACCATTTGCCCGGCGTGTCTTCAAGCGCAATACTCTCGCTTACCGCATGTCGACGCTCTGGAGTGCCATATCTCCGGAAATCCGTCGTCTGCACTCGATCAAGACATTCAAGACTGAGTTTCATAAGACATTCGTGATGGAGATTTATCTATACAATCATATGTGTACTGCTAAATATTATAGAGAGCAGAGCTTAAGCAGATGCGTCCACCTTGAGCTAAAACTGAGTGATGTACTCGAAGCTCCCAATAAATCGCTCGTTGAAAAGGGAAATTGCTCCAGCGACGAGTGGAAGCACGTCTCAATGAAAGGGGAACCATACCCTCGAGGAGCGGAGAGGGAGACGCAACGACGCAACCTTCCAGGTCGAGGTGAACGAGGTGGAGGCAGAAGTTGGACAAGATATATTCGTCCTCCCAGAGATATTTCAGCTTACTGAGTAGCATACCTCCAGCACGAGGGAGGAACGGACGAGCGCTCCCCCGTCTCCAGCAGTCATCTCCAAAGGAGCCGAATTAGGCTTGCTCATCTCGGAGAGAATTCGACCCTCTTTCGGAAGTACTGAGAAAATCCAAGGGCCATTCTGTTCCTGTCGTCGAGGACGGCGATCTGAAAGAAAGTATCATTCAGCTGGAATACGAGATCCAAGACTCTTTTCCAGAATCGCAAAAGCTGAAGCGTCGTAGGACGCTGCAATTCCGGCAAGCTGCCCCGAGGCCTCGGCCACCGCGCTGAGGAAATAAGGACATTGCTCGTCACGTGAGGATAGTCAAGCATCGATTCACACAGACTCTTCCCCAGAAAGGAGAGTCCGGTAGCTTTGAGATGATCAGGGAACACTTGGGGCCGAGGTTTCAATTCGCAACATCAGGAAGTCGAGCGGTGACCCAAACCCAGACCGTTTCCCCTCGGAGTGGCCCGCCCTCGTAAACTCAGATGCAGGGCGAGAATAGAGAGAATGCAGATCTCTCCCCGGGTGCCTCTTTCTCTCTGTCGCTTTTTCGTCGAGAATTTATCGACAAGCCGAATGTATCGGCTGACAATACACAAGAATCTCACACTTGGACCTTGACCCGACGCGACGACTCAACTGTGGTGTGAAATCACGAGCGAACAGCATGGAAAACTCTCGCGTGAGACGGGACGAAACCGTCAGTGGAAACGGCAAGGAACGACCAGTTCGACTCGAGCCTCAATCGGCATGCACCTTAGGGAAAACTCCGCACATTGCTTGTGTCCGAATGTCTCGATTTCAGCTGATCTCGGTGTCTCTCCGGGACCCTCCGCTTTTCCGAAGAGTGATCGAGCTTAGACGGGGCGAGAATACTGATCGAGGATCCGATGTTCGACCAAGCGATCTTGAGGGATCTCTTAAGAGCGTCAATAAACGTGGTACAAAGATCGCCACCGTTGAATTTCCGGCATCTGATGACCAGGGAATGGTGAATGGCACACTTGACGTGCGACGGCTTTTCCGGCCGCTTGATCTGGAAGTGGAATGAGAGAGTATGACGCCGCTCTGCTGCTCGGCCTTTAGTTCCGCTCCCCCGAGGGGCCGGAAAGCCTGATATTCAGGGGGAAAAAGCTTCTGATGATTTACCTATGCCCCATGCTTTGTCCTGGAACATGGGGCTCGTGGAATCAAGGAATTAGTTTCTTGAGAACGCGCGCTCCGCGATAGCCTTTGTTGGAATTCGCCCGCCGATCAGGAATGCGCGTCCAAGTGCCCCTGTCGGGAAACGGGGGACAGTTGGACTCGCTGGACTAGACTCTGGACCCTCTTCGTGGACTTCAGGCTATGGGGCAGAACCACCGGTGATGGAACCGAGATAATTCGCGCCCGCGACCGAAGATGGAAGGTCCAATGCAAGCGGAACCGCGTAGAAACGTAGAATGGGCTGAATTTATTCGCGGAATGCGTGCGTTTTTTCGAATGGCGAACGTCATGGTCTGAGAGTTGCGGAAAGGCTTGATCGACGAATGATGAAGTTTCGAAAAGCTCCCAGTCGGATAACTCCAGTTCGTAGCGCTCTCGTCGGTTAAAGACTCGGGAGCGAGAGCCGCGCATCTGAGGCGAAGGGAAATACGCAATGGAGAATCTATCTCGGCCAGGAATCGGAACGACCATAAGAACTGAACTTTCTGCACTGACTCAGGAGTCCACCCTGATCTAGAAATAAAATGATCCGCTTTTTCGTCAGGGTCGTGAATCACGAACACTCGCTCGAGACCGCACAGCGCATGCGCTTGAAATAAGAGCGCGTGTCCGATGACTCATAAGGTGTGTATTAGCAGACTACCTTGCCGATATCCCGACGATGCAGCCTCTACCACTGCTCGGGGCTCAGTTGGCCAAATTTTGAGATTTCACCCCTGTGATGGGCTCCCGTGGACGTCGGCCATGGGTCTCGTACGTTCAGCGATCTTCCCTCTACATGAAAGTTTCGATTATCCCGATGATTAAAGCTCCGCTAAGTTTTACTCGTGTCGCCGCCCGGATGGTAGCATAGAGATCGCTTGACAGGCTGCGATGATCAGCGTAATCTCCGACGATGCGTACTGACGAGGGTGAGTTTCTTCGGAGGGATCCTCTCAATTTTCGGGAAATGATATGAGATCGGTCTGTACGACCCAGTTTCAAATGAGAAACCGGTCTAGAAATTTCTCTCCTCTGTCTTAGTGCGTGGCGTATAGTCTTTGGGGGCGGAGTCTCCGGGCTACTGATGACGAGGCCGATGCCGATGGGCTGGCTCCTAGAGCATGGATCGGGGAGGGAGAGTGTTTTCTCTAGCGCGCCGTTGGAACTACATACTAACAGACAGAAACTTCCGGAGGTCGGTATGTTCACCCTATCTGGCATCATCAGTTCCTGTTAGCTTACTACGTTCTTCGTTCCGGGAACGCTCTCGCCCATGTTACTCCGGTAATTATCGCCTTTTTTTCGAGCCCGGTGCTCCAATGTGATTGTGATTCGAGATTTGCTCACGGGGAACGGGTTACAGTGAAAACTGTCTGATGGGACCAACCGCGGTGCACCAAAAAGCGGTCTGATAACTCAGGAGTTCCTATTGAGCAGGTCGCCCGACACGGGAACGAATCGAGTCGGTCCCATCACTGTGTGCTCCGATTACTCATTAATCTCGTATGGTCCTATTGGACGCTGGTCCTATCCGACATGTTTAACCGTGATTCACCGTGATTGGAGATCGGTCCCCCCAGAGCTAGTTATGCAAGTTCGCGGAAGAGCATCGCGAGCCCTGAATGAAGAGCTATCATGTCGAACCCGTCGCAAACGGTTTCTGTACTGAAAGTACCTGCTGCAAGGAAATCCTGTTCCGATTCGTGATGGAGACTCTCTAACCCTCCACCAGGACCCGTCAATCCGGATGAGAAATCTTCTATTCGAAAACATGGGATGATCCAGATGTTGGCCGATTTCCACGATTTCCAGAACTTCGGGAAGACTAGAACTGGGGACAGAGTTTTGCCCCATGTCGCTGCTCGGAAACTAGGCGCGACTCTGAGACATCGAATATCCTATTCTTCCTCGTATGAGGGAACGTGCTCATTGACCCGCCGCTTTGCAGTACTTGCTGTCAGAACCGCAGACTATTATCCGGATCGTGGCAAGATTCGAAGCTCATCGACCGTGCTTCTTCTTTACAGTCTATGATCTGCGCATTCGAAGTTGATCGTTGTTCGGCATAGTGTTATCGCAGGATTTGCGCTTATGGAGATCAATCCCGAAACGGCAGATGTCCTCAGAATGGTGGTGAGTGCAATGAATCATGTAGCAAGAATGAGTGTTGAGAAAGGGTTTAGCCTGTTGAAAGCGAGATTTTCTGAGTGAACATCCTCGATATTCGATCATTCTGGCATTTACTCGCTGCCGAATTCGATTGAGGTCGGATGGGTCTCAAAGGATTAGATCATGCGCATCACCCCCTATAACCCAATACCCAATCACCCCCTATGATAAAAGCTTAATGTCTATCTGTCAGTCAGTACGCGCCTTTTGTAATATTTCGCGTCACGAGCTGGACCCGATTTCGTGTTCACTACACACGCAATCATTCCGTACCATGCCTATGTGACTTTGGTATCATTCCGACCCACCGTTTCCTAGAGGGAACCAATAAACCCCAAGTTTTTCTCCTGTATGCTTTGTGACGTCATCGTGAATCCAAGATGGCGCACCCGCGGGGGACTCGCCACGACCCACGACCTGCGGCAACGGCCGAAGAGCGGTTTCGGAGCGGCTCTCACGATATCTTTGCCAAACATAGACTCCTTCCGCTGAGGTTCTACAGGAAAATTCCAGACTTCCTTCCACGTCACCCTATGGACATAACCCTATATACTCCTTACTTGTTAGTTAGAGACCCGTAACAACGCAGCTCTCCGATCTGCTCGCACTAAACGACGAAGCCGACCGATCGACCTTTGGTCATCACTATTCCGTCTTCCAAATCGCAAGTTCTTGCGCTGCAGCTTTTCTCTCCCGTGTGCTGTTACATTGATCGGTAGTGTTCAAGAGTGTCTCGGAGCGATCCCGGCAGGAGGCTGCGAGCGACGGCTGGTATGTGTTCATAGCGGGAAGCTCCTCTACAGGATGCAAACATCATTGCTAATTTACCTATTCAGCTTCCATCGTTTGACTCTCCGTATGGGAGGCTCGGACTGGTAGTCAAGGATTGACGACGGGCCTGTGTGAAAACGATATCTAAACACTGTTCCACGCGGGGGGCTAATCGATCTGTACTCGCACTGAAGCCTACGAAAAAAAACATCCCGGAAAAACCTCGCTGCAATTCAAGTTCTCACCGTATCAATGACTGCTCCTCCGAATATTTCCCGCGCGACGTCAACACGTCACTAGATCCTTTTCTTTTAGTGAGAAATATAAATTTTTTTTTTTTCTAGGCGGTTCCCCAGAGCACCAGCCTCCAATGCGACCTCGACGAAACCTCTCTCGCGGACAAACTTCGTTCATTTTACATGGAGCTCCTCGTGATGAAGGGCTTCCTCAATGTAGAGATCGGGGAGTTCTGTCGCTATGTATTAGACAGACTTAGACGAGACTCGGAAGGACGCGGGAACTATCCTTCTTACTCAGGGAACGAAGTCATGTTCCTGAAGACTGTTCTCGAAACCTTCGTAGTCGAGACTTGTGATGGGGTCAGCTATATCTCGGTAGCGCCTGCTCACGAAGAAAATCGTCCCGGAGCTCCCTTCTCCCCAACGAGACCTCATTCAATGTTCGGGGACCGCCTTGGAACAGCGTTACGGAGACGAAAGAGGCAGCGTCTACTCGGTGATACCGATCTGGAAGTCAGGGTCACAGACAGCTTCTTCGAGGGGAAGTTCATACGAATCAAGTTCTTCCCCAATCAGTCCGTGATCAAGCTCTGTCGCATTAATCGACAATTGAACTCGGGCGAGCTCGGGGGCTGCGCGCCGAGCATCCGGGGATCCATCTGCGCAGCACCGTACCTCGACACCGGCTTCTATCTTCGAGTTATGGTCGAGAAGGTCATGAAGGATCATCGCACGGACGTCAAAGTTCACTATGTGGATTTTGGATACAGGGAGTACGTCGAGAAGTCTTCTCTCCGTAAGATAGATCAGCGACTCGCCGTGATACCCCCAATAGCTTACAGTGGGGTGGTCGTCAACAGCGCGATCGATGTGTCAGGCAGGCAGAGTCAAGCTCTAATCATGAGGGATAGCGAAGTGAGCCGCGTACGAATTTTAAAATTCAACCAAGAGAAGAACATCTACGAGGTCTATTTACACCCGGCATGTGTCCGTCCCGGTGGCGAGCACCGTGGTTTCCAAGCGAGGTAAAGCGAGCCTCCACGGTCCCTGAGGCTCCGCTTTATTTTTTTGTGTAGCACCTCTGTCGTGATCTCGGGACTTCAAGAACTCTCACTCTCCATCGTTGATCTCGGATCCTTCTCTGACGCCCCGTGGAGCCTGGTCGGTTCGGAGATCTGGTCGCCGATCTCCTCGGGACCCTTTTGTCACTGAGGGTTTGAGCGTGCGTAAGATTCGCGAGTCGGAAGCCGTAGACCTCAGACATAGAACGTTCAGCCCGAGGAAGGAGGAATATGACGGGAGAACCTGACTGAGTCAGGTTATCCTCCCGTCAGATGGCCGGGATTGTCTGGATAGGGAAGACATTGGTTCCTGGGGAAGCTGTCTGCATGGTGGGGTTCCATCTTTTCACCGGAGCTCCGACCCTACGTTCGAGAAGGAGGTTCACCCTTATGGTTGGAGATCTCATATTCTCGGGACTTTGGGCTTTTCGATTCCATCCAGCTCCGGAGAGATTTCTTTCGGAACTCTTCCGGAGTCGGATCATTAGAATTCTTGCTCCTAGGGTCCAAATGGAGTCAACCTGCCTCGGGGGCGTACATGTGGTCTATTGGTCGCGGCTGAGCGCACATGTACGAATGTCATAGAAGGCTCCCGTGGTCATCGTGGAGAAGAGAGGTTTATCGGGGAGACCGTGCAAGCTCTGAGGGCGAGCATGTGCGCGAGAACACGTCTTGCGCACACGATGCAAACCCTCATACTGAGTGAGTGTGGATCGCGACAGGATGTCAACGCAAAGATAGGAAGAAGGATCACATTCAGGGACATTGAGGGACAGAACTTGGCGGTTCCGTGGCGAAAGAAATGGAATATTACCAGGAACATGGTATATATTCGATATGCAATAAACTGTGTCTACGAAATAAGGTTCGAATGCGCCATCCATTCCCAGGTAGCTCGTGGAGCCTGAATCGATCAGAGTGAGGAATTTCAGTTTGCAGTCCTTCCTCCGTCTGATATATGAGCATTGTGCTGTTCATAAGGTACCATCACTTTCGTTCGAATGGAATGACGTGCATGGAGAACAAATATCCGAGAGCGCGAGAGTTCGCGAACAAGCCTCGGTACGTCATCTGATCGGAAGATCTGATTGTGAAATTTTAAAGCGTGTTCTCGAGGAAAGGCTACTACGCGACCTTGAGTTTCGAAGGGTGAGGCTCCTTCCCCTTCCGCATAAATTAGGGATGTATGCTAAGAAAAGAGGGACGAGGCCTGAGAAAAAGGTGGTATGATTCCGGGGAGTGACTAGGTTCCCCGCCCAGGAACTGGTAGTCTCGTTTCTAAAGTCGTTTCAGTTGTGAATCTGAACCTCCGTGCTCCTGTTTTGATAACTATTGCTATCATCATTCATCATTAGTTCTCGATCATTCCTCACAAGCGGATCCGCTCCACCGACAGGTTGAGGATCATACCGCCGTCGAAGCTGATTCCCTTCGGATCGGTTACCCTTAGAGTAAATTCTAGATTCCATTCGATGTTCTACTTCCCTAATAATTATTTCTCATCAGATTTCAGCAGCATATGGCCGATCATAGCAGCCTCTATTGAGGGATGAACTCTTTATTTCCATCGCGATAGTGAGCTCTTCCCTCCAGCAGCAATGACCTCCCAAGCGCTATTCAAAAGGACGCTGAGGTCTTCATTCAGAATGCTCGAGGGATTAAAAGACGAGAACACACAGACTTTGAAAACCAGCGAAGCTGCCTCGTATTTTCCCGAGAAGAGGAAAGCTCGTCGCATATCTTCATCCCGTTCCCGATGGAAGCTTTGCGCCTCTTGTTGTAAGGCTCGACTTCTGTATGGACGGGATCTTTTCGAATTGACTCCTTTCTCGTGGACTCACCTGAAGCACCTGCTACGCCGCAAGAGACGCAGATTGAAAAAGCAGAGGTTTGAGAAAGCAGGCGAGCCCCCGAAAACACTCTATATCGCGGAACCGGCACTCATGGATAATGATCTGGTTCTGGGTTCTGAACACCGCGTTTCCATTACGGAAAGTTGCGTGACGGACAACGTCATTCGGATTTGCTTTCATCTGAAGAGAGACATCGGCAAGATCAATCGCGTAGTGACTCACTTGAATCGAATCGACCTCCATCCCGCCAAGTGCTTCCCCGGAACCATCTGCGCGGCCCCAACCTCTCAAGATGGTGTCTACGTTCGAGCACTAGTGGAACACTATGTAGATCCAAGCGACGAAGTCCTCATACGAGCTCTGGATTTCGGCTTTGCCGACGTCGTGAAGAGAGCTTCACTCCGGGCGCTTCCTTCCGAATTGTTCAAGATACCACCCCTCGCTTACCAGGCCAATGTCCTCCACGAAGGTCTCAGCGAAACTGATCGAGAAAAGCGGGCATTGATGCTAGTACGTTCTGAAGTTTCACTGATTCGGGTTTTGGAACACGACAAAAGCGAAGACGTCTACAAAGTGAAGGTGTACCCTCCAGTTGAACGACTTTCTACTGCCCGAAGACGCCGGCGCCGTGATCGAGTCGCGAGGTCGATTCGAACTCACATGAAGTTTCTGGCTGTGTATTTTCCATCCTGAACTCTCATCTCCTGCCGAGTTCCCCCGGAGCAATCGTCAATTCTTTCCTGACAACAGGCGTGAGACCTCGGAAAATTCACTTTGTGTTCCAGGGGGCCACCCTGAGAGCTCATTCGGCTGATTCCATCAGCTGATCTTACTTCGTCGGAGCATAGAGCGATCGTATGTCGCGATTTGCGATCCGTGCCAATAAGAACGTGTCACGCTGCTACGCAGTACGCAGGGTGATTGGACGTTGAATTCCGTATCAAATATTATAAATGATGGATTGATTCCGGGTGAGGAATCCGGGATAGACTACCGGACAGCCTTCTACTTGGAATAAAATGACCTTTCTGTTATGCGGAACAAATGATTTTCCACGGGTGCTCAGCAGGCATGAGGTTCGGGACACCGCCGGGAGGGGGGGGGGCGATGAACCGGAAAGTTCTCCGAGTTCACAGACCGGACCCATTCCAGAAAGTTCTCCGAGTTCAAAGACCGGGAGGGAAGGTAAGCACTCTGGGAATTACCGTGCCCAAACTCTTCGAGTGAAATTCAATGTTGGCATTAAAACGGCGTCGAGGTCGCTCACAAATGATTCAGAGGGAGCTGATCAGGTTTCTCGAACGCTCCACCGTAACCTGCATTCAGAAGCGACACGTCATAGTTTTTAGGGGAAGAGTTTCCAGAGCAACAACAGACAGATGCCCCACAGGCTGCCCACTAGGATCGGGGGCCAAGCGGACCACGTTCCATGCCGAGCGAGTGAACCGCGTCCCTCTCCGGTAACCGCTGCTCTGTTGGCTTTCCGGGATGTAGTACATACATTCAGCCCCTCTGAGGATTGCAAACGGGTGTGATATGGTATTCAGCTCACTCACATATTAAGAAACACCGACGACATCGAAATTACGGCTCACCCTCGATTTCGATCTGTCCCTGATACATAAATCTAGGCAGGTAGCGGTCTCCATGAGCCATCCCTCTCTCTCAGAACGATTTGGAGAGTGCGGAGACATGGAAGGCTCACACTCGACACCCGCGGTCTGGAAAGAGAATTCAGAAACTTTGGAGTCTCTTTCTCTGGTGACTCGAGTCTCATCGCGTCCATCATATATTCTTTTCTTGACGCTAATGGCTACAGAGCGGAAGATCATGCAAAACTTCCACGAAGGATTGCGAGAGAGCAATCGTCCCGAGAATATATCGCGACGGCTCTTAAAGCTTAACGGCGCGCCTCCCTCTCCCGTCTCTTCCATTCTCTCTGCCCGACAACGTCTAGCATATTTGGACGTCGACCGTCTGTGGATGCTTACTCCCCTCAACCATCTGTGCTCCCTGTGTCAAAATGGCTTGGCGGGTGACCGCGGAAGGCGTTATCAAGAGTACGATGACGTTGCCAGTGGAGGAAATCATGTTCGGAGATTTCCTAGACAGGCTCTTCAGGCGACATTCGGACAGAGTCGCCATGATTGACACCGAGACGGGACAACAATATACCTACGGCGATCTACTCCGTATGGTCAAAAGCATCGCAGCAGGGCTGCAGGCGCGAGGTGTCAAACCTCACGATATTGTTGTTCTCTGCGCGAGAACCTCTGTCAAATCTTGTTGCTACCTCTTGGCTCTGCTGTTCTGTCAGGCCACAATCTTGGCGACAAAGCCATCGTATTCTGCCTATGAGTTAAAGGGGGTGCTCGAGAGATTCTCATCTACGAAACTCGTGCTCGGCGACGAAAGTTCATGCCCGAATCTCCTCCAGGCTACGGACGGGGCTCTCGTATTGAACTTGGAGGAAAACTGGGATTTGAGTCGAGCCGCCGACTTCAAGCACCCTGGCGTAGCTGATCCCAAATCATCTGTGATGTTCATGTGCCTCACATCTGGCTCAACGGGACCTTCGAAAGCGGTCTGCATTAGTCACTTCAATTCGATTGGTAATCTCACGCAATGGAAGACGTCTTTCAGCCGGCTAGTGATGTGCAACCCGATTTCGCACCTCAGCGGCGCCATCTGTTTCTATCTGACGATCGGAAATGCAGAAACCGTCTTCATGGCACCGGAGAACCTCACCGACGACGTAGAAAAGTACCTGGACGTCTGCGACAAGTATGGAATTGAAACCGGTCTGACGCTGCCAGCGCATTTCACGAATTTGACGAAATTCGGTCGAAGCAACAAGTTGGACTCCGTGAAGCACTTCCTCACGGGCGGCTCCACCATACCTCAGTCTTTGATCGACGAATTCCGTTCGCTCTATCCCCATATATTTGTGGAAGTCGTTTACGGCTCGTCGGAGGCCGGGATCAATCTCAGATCTGTCGATCAGGAGAATATTCTGCACCTCGCCGTCATCACGAACATCGAAGTAAAGATTGTCGATATCGACACTGATGAAATCCTCGGTCCGAACCAGAACGGCATGCTCTATTGCAGATCACCCTCGGTAGCCCTGGGGTACTACAACAATGAGGAAGCCACGAAAGAAGTTTTCAAGGATGGCTGGCACATCACGGGAGACTTGGCTTTCAGAGATGACGAGGGAAGGGTGGTCATTGTCGACCGTCTGAAGCAGCTCATCAAGTGCATGGACAAGCAAGTTGTCCCCGCAGACCTCGAATTGCCTCTCAGCAAAGACAGGGATGTACTCAAGGCCCTAGTCGGAGGCGTCCCTCACGAAGTTTACGGCGAAGCTGCCGTAGCCTTTGTGGTTCCACGGAAGACCTCGGATTTGCAGCAATTACGCCAGAGATTGCTGAAAGAGGTGGAAACGAAGTGTGCTTTCTATAAGCGATTGCACGGAGGACTGTTCTTCGTAGAGACGATTCCCGAAGGCGCCGGCGGCAAGTTCTCCCGGAAAGAAATTGTGCGGAGACATCTGAAGAAAGAGATAGAGTATATCGAATAAAACTCAGAGAAGTCGAACCGACGCTGATTCAGGTGGAGCCCCACCGACCGGAGGCGTAATATACGGGTATCGGGCATTGCCTTGGCTCTATCGAGAATTGATCATCTGAGGAATAAAGAAAATTCTGATTGGGAGACGACGCCGACGTGTGAGAGAATCCTCATTACACACCTCCGCGCACATTCAATAGATCCGACGACCATTTCCTGCTCCCCGATAAATTCCACATCAGGTTCACCGATCCCGAGCTCTATCGACTGATTTTGATCATTTGGTCTCGTCTTGGGCGCTCTCGTTGATGGAGCATCCGCGAAATCAAGCGAGGCAACTCGAGGACGAATTCGGTTGCAGTGAGATGCTGCGGATTAACTTTCCAAGGTTTCGAATCTATGGCAGTTTCTTAGGAGCTCATCTTAAGAACTGACTAGCTATCCTCGATCGCTTTGCCCTAATCGAGTCTGCGACACTGACGCGTCGAGGGCTTCGAATCACTGGCATATCTCAAAGTCATTCCGCGGCTCTAAAGCTCGGTACGATAAAGGCCTCCTAAAATTTCGACGCCATTCTATCGTGACAATTCGCTCTGCTCTCGTGTCGGAGGACGATCATTTCCGCTTGGGTAGCGTCCATGTACAGTCGTTCGTCGATGTCCCACACCGCAATGGCTTGGCGAGTGACCGATGAAGGCATCGTCCAGAGTACCAAAACATCGCCGGTAGAAGAGGTGATGTTCGGCGAGTATTTGGAACGGGTTTTCACCGAAAACTCCGAGGAGATCGCCATCCACGACACAGAAACGGGTCAACGGTACACCTTCGGCGAGCTTCTCCGGATCGGTAAGAGCATCGGGGCCCAGCTCCAACAACGCGGAGTGAAACCGCATGATCTCGTGGTCCTCTGCGCTATGACCGGTGTCAAAGCCTGCTGCTACATGCTCGCGCTCATCTTCTGTCAAGCAACAATGGTCGCAACGAAACACTTTTTCTCTGTCTACGAATTCAAAGACGTCCTCGAGAAATTCCCATCCTTGAGGTTGATCATCGCAGACAACGCTTCATCGAGGAATTTGCGTCAGGCCGCGACCGTCGAGGTTCTGAATCTTGAAGAAGAAGAGTGGGATTTGAGCCGAGCCGCTGATTTCAAGCGTCCAAGTGCGGCCGATCCGAAGTCATCGGTCATGTTGCTCTGTCTCACCTCGGGCTCCACGGGGCCATCGAAGGCAGTCTGCATCTCCCACTACAACATCATGGGGAACCTGAAACAATGGACGTCGGGTTTCGGCCGCTTCATGATGTGCAACCCGATCTCGCATCTCAGTGGTATCATGTGCTTCGAAATGGCCCTCGCAAGGGGTGAGCGTGTTTTCATAGCTCCGGAGAGCCTAAAGGAAGACATGGAGAAGTATCTCGAACTGACCTCGAAGCACAGGATAGACACAGGTCTCACGATGCCCGTTATGTTCACGAGTCTGACGAAATTTGGACCCACCGATAAACTGTCGACGGTGCGACGGTTTTTCACGGGGGGGTCCTCGATCCCCTATTCGGTCATCGACGAATTCCGGAAGCTCCATCCACATATTCTTGTGGAGAACGTCTTCGGATCATCGGAAGCCGGGCTGATATTGAAATCCCTCGATCCGGAAAAAATTCATTACCTCTCAGTCCTCCCTAATGTCGAAGTCAAGATCGTTGATCTCGCAACAAACAACACCCTCGGCCCTAACCAGGAGGGAATGCTCTATTGTAGATCGCCTTCTGTGACTTTGGGCTATTACAATAACGAGGAGGCCACCAGAGAAGCTTTCGCCGATGGATGGCAAGTCACGGGCGACTTGGCGTACCGAGACGATGAAGGATTCATAGTGATCGTGGATCGTCTGAAGCAGATGATTAAATGCATGGACTCTCAAGTCGCTCCAGCGGACCTCGAAGCCCTGCTCAGTCAGAACGGCGACGTTCCGAAAGTTCTCGTCGGTGGAGTTCCCCATGAGGAGTTCGGCGAAGCCGCTGCGGCCTTCGTCGTACCTCGGGAGTCTTCGGATCTGGGAGCACTGCGGAAGACGTTGCTCAATGAGATCGAATCAAAGTGTGCTTTCTACAAACATCTGCACGGTGGACTCTTTTCGTTGAGACCCTCCCCGAGACGGACAGTGGGAAGTTCTCGCGGCGAGACATCGTCGCTCATCACCTCAAGAAGGATATCAAATATCTCGACTGAGCGGATTAAACAATCCGTTTTGCTCGCAGTACCGACCATGGGGAATGGGTAGTTACGATCACATCTCAATCGAACCGTCAAGATCGCCAGATTCGACCGATCAAGAAGGACACGAAGAGCGGGCAAATTGAGTCCTCCGGAAAAATAAAAACATTTCTGAAGCCACTGAAAGCCGGAGTCGTCAGCTCTCGCCGAGAGTCTTCTCGAAAGAGAAGAAATCCACAATCCGCCTCGATGCTCCTCGGCTGTTTTAGCGCTGAGCTTGCGAATGGGACTTGTTTAGTCTTTGGCATTGTGATCCTTGCACATGTCGGCGTAAAATCTGAGCGCTAGCTACTCTGAGGGACTAACACCTGAGCAGGCGGAAGGTCCGCAAGCGAAACTCCTCGAGGATCGGAAGAATCAGGTATCCGAAGAAGGACACAAAGATGGCGAAACTCAGATATCAGTTCATAATCTGACGAGTCAATTAGACTGCGTAAAGGGTAAATTATAATATAATAAGCAGTGTGGGGCAAATTTTCGCCGTGATTATGATTATGATTTTACCGTAATCATAATCACACGTGTGATTTTGATTATAATCATAGTCATAATCACAGAAATCGCCGAAATCACACGCTTTCGTATGATTATAATCATAATCATACGTGTGATTATGATTATAATCATACGCACTCGTGTGATTACGGCCATAATCATACGAAAGCGTGTGATTACGGCCATAATCATACGAAAGCGTGTGATTACGGCCATAATCATACGCATGTCTGTGATTATAATGATAATCACGCGTATGATTATGATTATAATCACACGTGTGATTATGATTGTAATCATACGAATGCGTGTGATTACGGTGATTTCTGTGATTATGACTATGATTATAATCAAAATCACACGTGTGATTATGATTACGGTAAAATCATAATCATAATCACGGCGAAAATTTGCCCCACACTGCTAATAAGAGAGAATTGCCAACTCACTCAACCCCGCCTTTGACTTTTGCCCACGTATATCAAACCTTTACAGTAAGGGTCTCTGTCTCTCTTCCGCGCGCTACCGCCCATAATATAGTCAAAGCGGGCCAAGCGATGTCCAATGTCCATGATGGGCTTCAATGGGTCGATGGAAGGATCGGTGTTTCTTGGTGACTAATTCCGGTCGAATTCTCGCGGGAATGGACAGGAATTGATAAACCTGGTCATTCAAACTTCTCCCAGCGTTCCTGATATGTTTCCGTCTTCATTTATGGTGGAAACGAGTCAAGACACGATGCATCGGATACTCCGATATGACGTCAATGATTCAAATGCTGCCCTAGAGAAGTCATCAATGGTGTCGATTGGATTGGCAAATATTCGCTCCAAAACTTTTTTGCAAAACAGGATTACGACGGGAAGGAAATGACAATTCGTCCAACAAAATGACAGTTCGAAGAAGAGTCGCGATGAAATTTGACAGCAGCGTTCAATTTTCGGATTCTCTTCCTGAGACTCCGATCGATAAGAGGCTGCGACTCCTCCGACGATGGGGGCGGAAGATCAATTGTCCCCAGCGGCAAGCCCGAATTATTGAGGGCGAATTTCCGCGGCTATCGTCGAAATACCCTGAGCGAGGTAAATCTCGTGAGCCAACAATGTTTCCCCTCGCAGCGAATCGCGATAAATCATCTCTCTTCCATTGAGGTGATAATTCCTCTCTATCAAAGCGGCATCTTATATGATATCGCCCGAGTCGGGGACTGACTTGGAGCAAGGTCGCTTCCTCCGAGCTCCTCGGAAGAACATCAGATCCGTACTTCTTCCGCTTGAGCGGAGCCTACGCCACAAGAAGGGCGGAGGCTCTTTTCCGTATCGAGTGACTTGATTAAGCAGGCATCAGACCTCTTGCCCATCCTTGGCACCAAAAGGACATGAGCCAGCTTTGAACTCGATAGGGATATAGGAATGATACGGCATTTCATCCTCTTCACTTTAATGAGTATTCACAGCTCGGGAAGGGCTGTGACCGCATCGATGTTGGAGAATTGACTTCCGTTGTAGGAACACCCCAAGTTCCCAGCCTCCGAATACTTCGAGGTGAAGACGATGACCTTGACAAGCCCCCACTTCCAATGACGTAATAATCAAGGGTGATCACTTGTCTCGCGGTCTCCCATCCCTCCCATCACCGGAGACTCTCCACGGGGACTATAACACAAAGTCAATTCGTCTCTCGCCTGAGGTATCGTCCATGGCCCTAGTGCGGAGAGAATGGAGGCCCTATGGTACCCGGGGAAGCCAAAACGTATTCCCCGACTCCCATGGGGATGAGCTCACAAGCATCTCTGACTCCTGAGGATGATTCGACGTCACAGCAGATAGACATGCCTCCCCGCAGATGTCGCAATGCTTCTCTTCCCCGCAGATTTCGGCGAGTTGGCTCGTTTTGAAAAGGTTGGGGGATTGGCGTGTCCAGCTACGCGTCCATCGATGAGCTGCAAGACATTCAACGATTGAGAATTCGAGCTTAGTTTTAGATCCGCCGGGATGAGCAGATTGCACCACAGTCGAGATATTCCATCAGACTCTTGCCAGAGTTCCGAAACCAGGCACCGATTTCGGGGTTTGAGACTTTCTGGTTCCCGATACCCGCGATTCAGACCCTGATCGGGATACAAGGTCAACATTTTCGAATAAGGAGGGCCGGCTCCCAAGGGAGATCTCCTCCAACTCATGTGCACAACAAGAGGGAGGAACTCTTCAGTCTCGCAGAGTTCAAAGCTATTCGAAATTCCTCTCGCGAGAGCTGAGCCAGATCTCCTCGGGATGACGCGCACGGAGCCACACGGATTGGGGAAATGCGAGCTCATGCACAAAATCGCAATCCGTGTCGCGCTTCCAGGAAGGTCATGGGAGGAGGTCCGCTTT